GGACTTGGTGCGAGGTGAACAAAACACCAAGACGAAAATCAGACTTTTTATCCACTTTATTCCAGAGCTCTAAATAAGTTGGAGACTCCCAGCGAAAGGAGGGAGTCCCGATTACAGATTTTACATAGCTTATATACGTTTTTAATCTTGTTAGAAAGCTTGTATCATCTCTAATCATCATGAACGTGGCATGGCTTACACTGATGTTTTAATCTTGCACATCTAAGCCGCCATGATTGAATGCAGTGGGTGACACATGACTCCCATAAAGGGTGACTGTTGGATATTGGCAAGATCTGCCGCTTTCATAGAGTTAACTGTAGAGTTAACAAGAGATTGCTTTTTGGCTGTGAACAAAATCGAATCAGGTGGCGAACTCTGTATAAGAGAAGAATTATTCTTCTTACTTGTTCTGCGTTTCTGCTTTTCCCTTTTAGGCTCATTGCTTAATTCCCTGCTGTCTTCATATACTTGTATTATATTATTTGTTTGTTTGTTGTTACTTTTATGTATAGTTGAAGATATGTGTTATGCCTAATTTTTCTCTTTTGTATCTTTTGATATAGATGTAAAGCTTGATATTTATATTTCATGTCTTCTGTTAATCTTACTACCCAACAGTAACAACAGTAATAATAGCAACTATGCCATTGCCGGATCTCCCTGGTTCTCCTGGCGTGCAGTCTTGGACACGGGAACACAAAGCATCTGGAGTGTCCGGGTTCTGGGAGAGAAGGAAAGGACGGAGTCTTCTTCCCAAAACCCGAACTCAAGGCTGGAAGCCAACCGTCTTTCTTCCAGAAGAATCCTTCAACTGACCAAGATGCAAGGGAGAAGGCGCCCCATTTGCAAGATCTGCCACTTTAGTAGAGTTAATGTAGAGTTAACAAGAGATGGCTTTTTGGCTGTGAACAAAATCGAATCAGGTGGCGAACTCCGTATAAGAGAAGAATTCTTCTTCTTACTTGTTCTGCTTTTCTCTTTTAGGCTCCTTGCTTAACTCCCTGCTGTCTTGGTATACTTGTATTATATCATGTATTTGTCGGTTGTTACTTTTACGTACAGTTGAAGATATGTTTTATGCCTAATTTTTCTCTTTTGTATCTTTTGAAATACATATAAAAGTTGATATTTATATTTGTCTTCTCTTAATCTTATTACCCAACAAATTGGTAGCAGAGGATGGTTGGGCTTGGGAAGCTGATGAGCTTTTTTTTAAGAGAAGACA